AAGCAGTGGTATCAACGCAGAGTACTGGGTCGTCTATCTCATCACCTGCGCGAGCTGCGGCGACGAGTACATAGGCGAGACAGCGCGACCGCTATGTGTTCGCATAAGAGAGCACTTAGACGGCAAAGATAGATCACGAACCTCCACCCCACTAGGCACTCACAGGGCGCTAAAACACGCGGAGACAAATTTCGAAGTCACAGTGAAAATACTAGCGCATGAATCACAAACATCGGCTCGCAAATGTTTAGAGGCATTTTGGATTCACGCCAAAAGCCCTAAAATGAATCGCAAGGAAGAATGCCTAGCCATCACACGTGAGCTCGCTCCCTACTTGGGTCAGACCTTCTGACCCGGCGGAGACGTTATAAATAGCCGTGGCATATGCATTCAGTCATTCTACGCTCGCTCTGGCATTAGAACTCTATCGGCGTTTTCAAAAGGTGAGTGCTTGGTTAGGCAGCTAGTTACTAATCTACCGAAGCCTTAGAGTTTTGTTTGCATGGCTGCAGAGACGTTTGATCGAATAGTTTGCAAGTCGTACTGTCCATTCCAGGCTCTGAAGAAGGCGACTTGCCGAAACGTCAGCCAATAAAGTGTTAACAATCTCGGGTCAAGGCTCAGAACTACAATTACAATGTCTTCTTTTAACAAGGAATCCCGAGGAACAGAATTTCCATCTTCTCATCGACATTTGGCGTCTCATGAGTAGTAGTAGAAAACAAAGCACCATGCTTTCAAGAAAAAGAAGCTACCACCAATGACTTATTATCTGCAAAGCATCTTTGCTGTTTCTCTCGCAGATATCCTACCCAGATGCCCAGATACCACAGTTTTTTTAATCATGGAAGCTGCCTCGGGTGCCATCTGTTTGGACCAGGTAACTCATCCGAAAGCTCACGTTGATTTCCAGACCAGTGTCATGCCCTAAAAAGCGTCGAGTTACTCATTCCAGCAGCAGAAAAACCCAGATATGTATATAAAAACGAAGCAGCTTTTACAGAACTTCATAAAACTATCTCAAAACGAAAATTGTTCGATGATGTCTTGCCAATAAATGGACTCATTTCCTGGAAATAGACTAAAGCTAACTCAACGCCTTTTTTTGGAGATGCAATCTTAGCGAAACTGTCCTGTCACATAAAACCGTGGGTCTTTCCTTCCCTCGAAACCAACCTC